AGACAAGTAATATATATATAAAATACTGGGTTAACGTTTACACATATTCTACGTAGGCAGCTTGTTTTGATCACAATCGTTTTCAATTATAGATATTTGTCTACATTTAAAAAAATTTGTTTTACATTATAGATATATTTTTTAAATTTCTTTTTAATGACGAAATATATTTTAGATCTTTCAATTACTATTTTTTCCATGAATTGCTCTATTTGTGGAAATTCGCGCACAAATATTCGAGGGTTATCTACCCTAGCCGTCCCTAATTTAGACGTGATAAACTACAGGGAAGGCAACTACTCTTTACCAACGAAAGAAAGGATTTACCATCACTTATAACGCCCGCACCGCTAAAAACATGTCGTTAAAAGGACTCTATCTATGGCTTTGTCTTCATTACATAACGTATGTTTTTAAAAACAGTTCATAACTTATAACAAAATGTTTTCTCTTATTGTATATTTTCCCACTTATAACACTTAAGACCAGCTCGTGATGGGCACAGCACAGATAAGCTTCAACTCCAAACAAACAAATAAATTTATACTTACAATTATTCAATGACTCATATTATTGGGGTAAGTGAAGCCTGTCTCGTTATCTAATCCCTTGAATAGGGTTTTTATGACAGCAACATTGTGTAAAATAACACGTGTTTTTTTTATACATTTTTTCTTGGGTCGCATACAAATGGATTTCCAACATCCAGCCATTCATATTCTTATAGAAATGACATGAGACATAGCAATGACTCAATAGAAATTAGTGAATCTTCTATCTCATTAGTTATCATTTTCTTCTAATATTTATTTCAATTTAGAAAAAGATAGTCTCCATATAAATAGTTATTATATGATTCCAAGTTACAACTGAGTTCAGTTACAACTGGATACTCTCTACCTAAATATATATCTGAATCCAGTTAGAACTGGGTGCTCTCCATATAAATAGTTATTATATGATTCCAGGTTACAACTGAGTTCATTTAGAACTGGATACTCTCTACCTAAATATATATCTGAATCCAGTTAGAACTGTATGCTCTCTACCTAAACAGGTTATTATATTCTACCAAG